CGAGTGGCCAAGGGCGTAGCCAGGATTTAGTTTAGGGGGGGGCAGGCAAGTGAAACTAATATGTTCGCTACAAAAATTAAGTTTCATATAAACAAGAACAATTTTCTCGGCTCTTTGCATAACCTTTTCAAGACTTCACCTGAAATTGTATGTAAATTTTCTTGTACCATCTTTCGCTGGACACTTAACATACACAGGCCATTTATGTGTCCTATGTATGTTAAGAGATCAAGATCGAGCATCGTCGACCTAAACCACGTTTTGACTACACCGCAATGTAAAGAAGTACCTCTCTACATTGCTCGTGGTGCAAGACAGTGCCAAAGAAATTAGTATAGGTTTTCTGGTTGGAGGAAAGAATGTTTCCGCCTTCTCTAACAACTCCGCAAAGTTCCAGTGCGGATATAAGGGAATCCAAATACGGGATGAAGATCGATCGCTTTCAAAAATCGCATGGAGTCTCAGCAGGATGATTAGACTGATGTCGTTGGCGAAATGCAACGCGGGATATGTAAATCAGTTCCAATGACAGCTGCAGTTTCCGTAGAAGTGTTGAAGACTTACTGTATCGTACTAACATTCCAAAATACCTCACAATAAAATTGAATAATTATTACGATCTTACCAACGAACAAACCAAAAATGGCTATCTAGTTAATTTACATGCGGTAGAAGTAGGGGCGAGAGAAAGAAAGAGCTAGCTTGTGCTAGCTAGTAAATAATAATTTTCGAATAACTTATTTTTATTATGCTTCTAAACCTGTGTTCTAAACGGGCCATAGTTGCCCGGCAATGTGTGGCTACTACAGATGGCCCGGCAAAATTATATTTTTAAAAATACCTTAATACTTACTTGTTAGTTGTACACACAGTAACATTATACATACTACAGACTTTAAAAAATCCTTGTATCCATCATTTTACGTCCAAGAAATGCTTAACGTACGTACGAAATCACTTCACTGTTTACGAGTAGTCCTATCGAAATTACAGCTTTAGTAACGAGACTAATGAGAGTTATGTGTGATTCTATATTTTTTTTAATTTTTATATTTAGATTTTGGAATATTTTTTTATTTAATTTTTGGTTCTGAAGCTCCTTGATCTAGGGGGGGGGGGGGGCAGCTGCCCCCCCCTGCCCGTACCTGGCTACGCCCATGCGAGTTATCTGTGGATGCTAGTAGAACCGGTCTCGGCGCGTGTCTATTACAAAATAATTTACCAGTTTGTTATGCTTCAAAGTCATTAAATGACGCCGAGAGAAAATACGCTCAGATTGAAAAGGAGCTTTATGCGGTTTTATTTGCATGTGAAAGATTTTATATGTATATTTATGGTAGATCAGACGTTATCATCGAAACGGATCACAAACCATTAATAAGTGTAATAAAGAAACCTATTATAGACTCCCCTCCGCGTCTCCAAAGAATGTTGTTAAGATTACAGCGTTATACATTTAAACTTATCTATAAGTCAGGTAAATATATGTATATCGCAGACACTCTGTCGCGCGCACACGAAGACAGTGACTCGATCCCGCTCGAGCTAGCAGCGCACACGGCAGAGCACTCGTTCGGCTCAGTGCACGACGAAGTGTGTATGGTAACGCGTGATATGATGTCGCACGCGGCACAACAATTCGATGATATTCAACTTATGCGAATACAAAAATATACAGAAAAAGATGATGAATTAAATTTGGTAAAACAATACGTCATTAATGGGTGGCCTTCTGATAAAAATAAAATCTCAAATGAGGTCAAACCATATTGGAATTACAAAGAGAATTTAACATTTACTTTTGGTATAATTTGGAAAAATGAGAAAGTAGTTATTCCTAAAATTTTGCGAAGGGAAATGTTAAAAAACCTTCATATAGGACACATGGGCATAGAAAAATGTAAGTTAAGGGCGAGAGAAACTATTTTTTGACCTGGAATTAACAATGACTTACAAAATATGGTTCAAAATTGTAATATATGTTTATCGCACAGGAAGAAAAATCAAAAAGAAACGTTACAGTCACATGATATTCCAAATAGACCGTGGACAAAAATAGGAATTGATTTATTTTATTTACGAAATAAAAATTATCTTTTATTAGTCGATTATTACAGTAAATTTTTTGAAGTGGTAGAATTACATATTACAAGTTCAGATTACGTAATTAAGTGTATGAAAGATATTTTTAGTCGTCAAGGAATTCCATGCATTGTTGTATCAGATGGCGGGCCACAGTTTTCATCATATGGTTTTAGGCAGTTTGCTAATGAATGGAAGTTTACTCATACCACCTCCTCTCCACATTACCCACAATCCAATGGTCAGGTTGAGCGTACAGTTCAGACAGTAAAAAATATCATGCGTAAGTCGAGTGAAGATGGATCAGATTATCGGCTTGGCCTTTTAGAATATTTAAATACTCCTTTAGCGGATGACGTTCCATCTCCCTCAGAATTGCTACAAAGTAGAAAACTGCGTAGCATTATACCTGTGTCGGCAATGCAATTGAAACCTAAAATACAAAAAAGTATTCATAAAAACTTAATGAATCGTCAAACTAAACAAAAAGTATATTATGATCGCAATGCAAAAGATTTAAGTCCATTGCAGGTAGGACAAAATGTCAAAATTCTGCAAATGGGTGGTTTTCAGAAGAGGTTTTGGGTGGCTGGAACCATTACTCGTATATTGAGAAATCGTTCGTATGAAGTACAGTTAAAGACGGGTACCAAAATAGTCAGAAATCGCAGACACATCATTGTAGACCCAACTGATAGACATGACACGCCTTACTACAATTTCGATTATGATGATATAATCTTGCATGATGCAAATGTAAACGATAACATTGATTCAAATGTACGTGTGACTCGATACGGTAGGACTGTCAGACCACCTGATAGGTGGGGATATACGCATATTATACAAAGATAATTTATAACACGATTATACGCATGTTTTAAAATTAAAGCATGTTAAGAAACGCAGGGACATGGGTCATGGTAAAAAAATAAAATAAAAATGTTTTAAAATAAAAACAATATCATAAACAAAGCATTTATTTAATTCAGTCCAGTAATAAGATTTTCATAGTTACAATTTCCCATTTTAAAAAGGTTGTTATTGGTAGATAGAAAATTGTATCTGTTAATATTTAAATGAATATTATACAGTTTCTGTATATAGATAATTTAATTTAATGTTATTATAGTGTAAGAAGAATATAATTTGAAAAATATGGTTCTGTACAGTTTTGTATAGGAAAATATATATAAAAAAAAAAGTACCCATATTATACAAAGGTAATTTATAATACGATTGTGCGCATGTTTTTTTTTTTCGTTTTGTTAAGGAGGATGATGTAATGTTATAGTTATTAATTGGAGGTATATTGTAAAAACTGATCAACGGTTACCATGAGAAATAAAGACAGTCTGCATCCTACAACCGTCGTTTCAATACACGTTACAACAATCATGGCGGATGTGGCGAACAGCGTTTTTAGTGTTTAAAAAGTATAGACTAAAAATTGTTTTTTTAAATTAAATTTCTACACCAATCTTCTGCTTTTATGAAGTGAAATCGATATATTTAGGTTCCTTAGACAAAATACTTTAAGAAATAAACATTTATTTAATACAATTCGACATGAGTCAACTAGCCAATTGCAGATTCTTAAAAGTTCGTAGGGTGTGAAGAGTACATATCTCTACAATATTGTCTATTGCCTTTTGGTTGTTGCTATAGCTACTTACTTGTTATCATTCTGTGTCACTGATGAAAATATTCTTTTTATAAACTTATTGTGCTAACTAATATTAAATAAAAATACGTCTTTACTTTGCATACATCTTTATTTAAATCAACATTTATAAAACTTAAAAAATAGCCACATAAAAATTATAAACAATACTTAAATTTCGATTCGGGCATGCATAATTCTCTAAGCTAAATTTAACATCAGTCACTCCTTTACAGAGAGAATTACAAGGTTCTTAAAATTTTAATCTTTAGAGGATTATGCCAGATTCGACACCATATTTAACTTACTATTTTTTGTTTTGTTTGTTTGTTTATTGGCAACACATTGATGTAAACAGCGTATATATAGTATCTGATTCTAAAACAGTTAAGTACTTTATTGTATCGGCGAGTCACAAAATCGATCTTTTAAGTTGCACAGACTACAGTGCCATTAGGACTCCATACTCCCAAAATCTGAAACAGTATTAGGTTGCTTTCCAATTACAGAGCATAATGCGACTCAGTGCCGCACAATGCCGAATTATGCTGATGCTTAATTGGAACGTGAATTAGTTTTCAAATGCACCAGCAGAGTGCGCTAAGTTCAGTGTTGAAAAAAAAGTCAATGTTTGTACCTTCATCCATATTTATATTTAATTTTTAACACAGTTTGAATTAACTTTGATTATTTAAAAAAAAACTATGATGAAACGAAAGTTTTAATAATTTTTCAACAATAAATAATATTACTAACGATAACATATAAATAAAACATTTCGATCAATGATATCGATTCTGGCATGATTCTCTAACCCTAAACTTAAATTTGACAACAGTGTATCCTTGTCATTCTCTACATAGAATGAAAGGGAGAGACTGATGTTGAATTTAGTTTTAAGTTTAGAGACTCATACCAGAATTGACACCAATGCCAACTTAAAGAAAAAATACTTGTTAATTTTCTGTCTCTGAGTTGGTACGATTGCACGCATCACACGAAAGCATTACTTTTGAGAGTGCTCGATTGTGCGAAGCGTTGCTGTAGTTGGAACACTCAACGTTAAGCATTATGCCGCATAATGCGCTATAATGCTGTAATTGGAAAGCTACCAGAAGCTTATCGAAAAAAGCTAACTAGATAAATTTTGTGCCAAACGCTCCAAGAAACATTAGGATGCGTCACATCGACATTCAAATTTAAAAGAAGAAAACTTTAAACTAGGCTGTATGCGCATTGTTTTCTTTGCCTTCCCTGAAGAGACGCAATGTTAAAAAAAATCATAAACCGGGAATTTCAAGTTCAATGACAACAGGTTTTGAACAGTTTATCCATTCAGATAATTTTTAAAAACATTATTGCTTCCAAATATGGCATAATTTTTATCTTGTAAAGTAACGTTTTACTGTGAATACTATTCAGGATTGTATTTCCAGTCAACTATTTTGACACATAACCTAAGTTAATAAAATCAAGTGTAAATAAAATACCTGCTGTTTAATACTTTATTAAGTTATGCAATTACTAATTCAAGCGAGTCCAATTATGAACAAAATAAAGTATTGGCGTCAAGCATTTAGTTTCAACGAAGTACAACTTACAACATCTCAAAAGGTAACCATTGGAGGTTCTTTCCTTGCAATGTTATGGTAGCATTACCAACATCAGTGGCTTTAATTTTCATATCTTATAGGTTGTTCTATGGAGCATCGGCGTTGTTGGAACGAGTGCTATAGTGGTTGGAGTGCTATCTCGATATTTAGCTAGACGAAGAGCTAAGCCTATTCTCAACCCGAGGATCCAAAGAGCTATAAATAAAAGATTGTCCCGTATGAGAAGCCCAAATGGAGGTAACAAAAAGGAGACAGCATACTAAAATATGTTCCAATATTCAAAATAATGAAAAAATATTACTTTTAAAAGGTCGCACCTGCATGGCCCCGACCTTGAGGGTTGAAATGAGAATAATTTCAATTTAAGATAAGGATAATATATTTAGTTGACTACCTATCTATTTTATCTTTGCTAAGTAAATCATAATTTTTTGTTTATTGTAGGAATGGGGTCATTAGCTAGCAGTGGGGGTCGTAGCAGCCCTTTAGGGTTTAGTGAGAGGCTCTCATTGGCATCTGGTTCAATTGGCTCTGGAGGGGGTGATGCTGCGCCATTATCACCCCAACAATTAGGTGTAATGGGTAAGTTATACATTTTAAAAGATATTATTAATTAAGAAATGAAATATTAAGCTTTATTCTTTAGCGCTACCTGCTAAGGAGAGTCTGAACTAATAATTTTTATTTCAACCAGTAATAAAAAACATTCAATAAGAATGCCGTTCTTTAATTAAATTTTTAATTCCGCTAGTAAGTTTTTAAGAATAGACAAAAATTAAATTTTAAATTCGTAAGGGTTTGTAACAATTTTTTTACAGCGCCATCTGTTGACGAATAGCGGAATGAAGTTGTAAATTTTGTGCTTTTTTGAAACTAAGCATTTTGCACTTTTGTTGACAGATGTCCCTTTATGAAAATACTAGAATTTAGGCGATCCTCACACTGCCGCCGCACTACAATGCGGGGTGCAGATCTCCATCATCGAACAGATTTTGTTCGCCATAAAAACTCGTGTTTGTAGGCGCGTGAATGCGTTTTGAGTGTGCACTTGCACTACGCGTGTTTCAATACAAAGAGAAGTAATTACAAGCAACGTAAGAAAATGCACTCCCGCGCTACGCAGCGTAATGCGTGGCAGTGTAAGAATGAGAATCACCGTACAAGCAGAAATGATTGCTCACGTATTTCTCGAAAATACATGCAATGTTTTTTTGTTTCTTTTTATTTGGGGTAACTTTTAAATAACGGAACAATCATTAAAATGTGCTTAATAGATTGTATCATCATTTATGTGAAGAAAATCTTTGTAACTACTTACCCCTAGATTAAAATAGTATTTTTAATTATTTACTGCACGTTAGTAGTGAAAATTATTATTATACCAACGATAAATATCGTTGTATTTTATTCTTAAATTATACCGATAGGTAAGAAACATTTTATATAAAATAGCATTTGGATATAACGAGAAAATTACATAGGTATTGCTTTTATAATACAACTTGAAACAAACAGCTTATTTCTAGTAAGAGATTCTCTATAAGTTTTTCAGGTCGTTACCAAATTCATAGTCTGTTTCGTCACTTTTTTGTTACAAAATAGTAGATACCTTATTGTGCTTTCGTGATTGTGACGCATTGCATGCTGCCTTGCGGAGGTCATCGCGATTGTTATATTCAGTATGCTTTATAACGGCTCGTTGGTCTAGGGGTATGATTCTCGCTTTGGGTGCGAGAGGTCCCGGGTTCAAATCCCGGACGAGCCCGGTTTAATTTTGTTTCTAATATTCGTTATAGTTAAAGACAACAATTTGTTTTTGTTAATTGTAATTCATAATTGACCCATTTTGTATGTTATATGTTATTGCCGTCTCTTAAGGGCTTGAATGTTACGCCATTGAGATTGGAACAATAGTCTAGTAACGGTCGTAACTTGAGAAGGAGGGTTAGTTCGTCTTTAGCTTGCCCATCACGTAATAACCTACTAGCACGCTACGTGCGGTGACACCCTTAGGGAAATGGCCTTATTATATTTATTAGCATTATTTAGAATAATTAACGCCACAAAATTAATGAATAAATATCATTATTTAGAAACATTTCTATCAGTACCTTCTCGGAGTTCTGGAAGACTTTTGTTTGGCGGTTTTAAAAACTTTCCAATCAATCCTTAGCACTTGCCTTGTAACAGTTTAGTTTGCCTCCGCTCGTGTTAAGCTCGACCAACATGTATTGGCGGCTTTATTTTGACGCATTTATATCTTTTTATAATATTCTTGCTTTAGTCTTTGATTCTTATACGATAATTTGGCTAAAATTGTCACTGGCTCGTTGGTCTAGGGGTATGATTTTCGCTTAGGGTGCGAGAGGTCCCGGGTTCAAATCCCGGACGAGCCCAAATCCTTTTTTGTTTTTCTTACTTCTATTTTGAACATTCTCTTTATAGATTATCTTATATATAGATATTTTAAAATAAGTATTTTTTTTATTTTTTTTTATTACGTATATAATATTGAATACTTTGCTAGGCTGTTGTCGGTGCGTCGCTCGGTTTACCTACATGCTCTCGTAGGTATCCCGAGGGTACGCCGTCGGTCCCCCCTTTCTCACATGCGGGAATAATTAAAATGTCTCCGGGTACCTATGAACGTAGCTACAGAAACCTGCGACTTCACAAGGGCGGCGCCGGCGGGCGAACGCGTGCTATGTTTATACAACTACGGAACGCTTTCTTTCGCTACCCACTCATTATTGTTGTTATATTGCGCGTTCACATGGAAGAGAAGCGGCGCACTTGTGCTCATGGTTTAGTCCTAGAGCCGGCTGTATAGGCTCTTTAATTCTTCAAACTAAGTCGACAGTCAGATCCGGGCAAATAAAAGGTATTTATTTCATTCATTTCTAGAGGTTCTAGTTTCAAAAAATCGTAAACAAATCCATGTATTCGATGACTTAAGATAAATTTAAAAAAAAAAAAATTTAATGGTGGTCGACTTAGGGTAGCGAATAAATAGAGCTTGTCGACCCTTGACATTTCTATTCTACTCATCAAAAACTTTCGTTTGACATACATTTTCTTGATGTATTTGATAAATTACGATCACACCTAAAATAAAAACCGGAAGTGACGTCATAATTTTGCATGCGGGCAAAATCAAGCAACTTCAGGGGTGTCGACCTCTAGACCTATGGCTTTATTGTTCTGATCCATAGGGCTTTTATACAGCCGGCTCTCCGACTAGTTGGCACTGCAAAATTAGACGTGCACTAATGCTAGCACTTCATATGGCTATTCGTATTTGCTATTTTTAAACTTGTCAGCAGCAAAGAATATCCTTTTCATCATCATGTTTTTTTAGACTAGGGCCGATAATTTTTGAGAAGGAAAAATTTCATAGGGTGATGAGGAAAAGGATCAGGATGAAACCCATTTAAAAAAAGGAACACATTAAAAAGAGAGGAAAATATTTTACGGACGATTTGAGATCAGGAAGGGTGGGATGAGTCTATTTTCCCCCGAAAATGGTTTATTACGATTTTCAGAAAACTACGACTCTCACCGAAAAAAAAAGCTGAAAAGATCTACAATTTTTGCATTTTTTTTTTTCACTTAGCTTAAAAAATATCTGCGCAAAATATAAACTTTTTGGTTTTTTATTAATATCTCGACCAAAAAAAAGTTTTTTTACTTACGAAATTTTTCAAAAATGCTCAAATTTTTTTGAGTCTAAATTTCTATTCCTTAAATTGATAGATGTTATATTGAAAAGTAGGTAACCTTATTTTCAATCGAAAATTTTATGTCTAAACATTGCTTTTTAAAAGAATTGCTCTTTTGGTTCAGAAAATACAATAATATTTAATATTGATAAGGCTCTGCTTATCAGGAGTTTGCCTTAAAATGAAATAATAGGCGCAATTTTGGCAAATCAAAATCAATTCATATAAAAACATCAAGACAACATTGCATGGCGCCACTTCTTTCACTATAACAGAAAAGTACGGATTTTCTTGTGAAAAGAACTAGAAAATCAAAGATATTTCTCGAAAATTTTAAGTTTTCAAATAAAAGACTATTTATATGTTTATGTATTTAACTCTATGTTTCTGTTCTGATATTATTTAACTCGCTTTAATTCGATAAGTTGTAGTATAGTAAAAATAGCATTTAATCGAAATAAAATCACTTTATTTATTTTAGTTTTTTTCTCATCCATCGTTTTGTGGAACATATTTTTTTAAAGTCGCTAGTAACAAGTATTTTAATCTTTATTTAGTTAAGCATTCAGGAAATCATCGAGTGGTCGGTAAACAATAGGCTAGTTGACTCATGTCGAATTGTATTAAATAAATGTTTATTTCTTAAAGTATTTGGTCTAAGGAACCTAAATATATCGATTTCAGTTCATAAAAGCAGAAGATTGCTGTAGAAATTTAATTTAAAAAAATATTTTTTAGTCTATATTTTTTAAACACTAAAAACGCTGTTCGCCACATCCGCCATGATTGTGACGTCTCTTATGGTAAACAACTAAATGTCATTCGCGTGATACTGTGGGTGGATTCTTTCGTCTGACTAAATTTACCTTAAAACACTTTTAAATTTAGAAAAGTTTGCGTTTACTGTTTTTTTTTTGAAAAAAACTAATTATGGATGCCGGCTTTGTGAAAACAGAAAACACAAATCTGCCAAGAATTGACGCATTGATGGTTGGTGAATTTATTGCACTAAACCCCGATTTCTGCTCTGCGGAGCAGAGAAACGACAAGGCATCTATGTAAGTACAATGTATTTAGTATTACAATGTAGTAATAAACATATAACTGATACAACATATGAATAAGTGTAATAAAGTTGCGCAGGTTAATTTCTTTCGGCACTTTAATCCACAACTTTCCTAGAGTCTTCAAGGATGTGTTTTTATATTCTCGTACAATACAAAAATGATAATTACTTTATTTTTCGTGGTATTTATTAGAAATCATGTTTATTTTATTATAAACTCAGTTAAGTAATTTTCTACGTGCATAAGAGTTTTTGTTTACTGCAGTTAACGTCAAAGCATAGATAATCTATAGACTAAAATGGCCGACAGCGTTTTTGTATGTCCATGAAAAATCTATTTTAAAATTAAAGATTTGTAGCTTTTTACGTCTCAAAAAAATACAATACATTTTTTTTCGGTGTAATAGAACATTTATTAACCATTTAAAACCTTTTTACAAAAAGAGTCAACTAGCCTATTCATTAAACACCTACACAAATAACCAACTATGCCTTGGAATTCATTTATTTAGCAAATTAGTATCTTGTCATCATGGAAATTAATTGTTTGTTTAATATTTAAGTATTTATCGTTATCATAGATGGATTGGAACAGAGACAGACCTGCCTTACTACCACTAAATGACTGGGTTATGGCTTATGCATAACGTATTTTCTCATAAGTATAATAATAATAAAAAATAATAAGCATAATGTGTTAAATGTGACACCTAGTACATGCTCTCGATCTACTCGCTAAATCAATCCGGTGACTACCTACCGGCCTTTGCCAAAGTCAAAGAAAAGCTTAGGAAAGC